TTTTTTTTTAATGAAAAAATACAAAAAATTCAAACTTTAACAGGGAAAAAAGTCACAAAATAACGGTTTCTGTGTAAATAATTGGCACTTGTGTTAAAGCCTCTTCCTTTAGAAAAAAACTAAGCTACCAATGAATGAAATCGATATGTAAATAAACAAATAATGATTTGTCAAATGAAAATGCGCAAGGATTTTTTGTATGAAATATCAGCAGAAAAGAGTGTTACCCATACGCCACGCAAATCTGAGCAGGTAGAGTCTTTGCATCGAAAACAAGAGGTGTCGCAAATGATTAATTAATTTCTCAGAACCTATCAGGGTTATGGAAAAGTGATATATGTATATACAGTTTATGGAGAATCTCAGTTGCTCTCATTTCCCGTATCTCGTATTACCATTTTTCAATTGGTTCGTAACATATACGTGATTAAGTGAAACCGCGATTTTTTGAAGCTAAGTAACGGTAAATTTCAATATATAATAGAAACTACATACATAAATGACAGTTTAAAAGATTACACAAAGTTCACAAAAAATAATCAGACATCAAAAAATCTCATAAAATTTTTAAATTTTTTATTTAGAGTTTTTAGAAAACAGACCAATAAGTCTCACCTCCTTTGTCTTGAAGGCAATGGAGAAGATAGTAGACAACTACATCAGACATGACATTCTGAAGGCAACACCCCTACACCCCTGGCAGCATGCATACAGAGTTGGTAGGTCTACGGACACAGCCCTTTACCAACTGACTACGGAAATTCGGGAGGCCTTTGAATGTGGAGAAATAGTGCTATGTGCTTTCCTTGACATAGAGGGGGCGTTTGACAATACGTCTCACTCGGGGGTGCGCATGGCTCTGGAGAGAAGAAAGGTACAGCCGGCGATCTGCAACTGGGTGGATAAGCTGCTGCACACGAGAATTGCTCAAACCGAAGTAGGGGACAGCGCGGTACAAATACAAACAAAAAAGGGCTGTCCTCAGGGGGGGAGGGGGGTTCCTATCCCCCCTTCTATGGAGTTTAGTAGTGGATGAACTCCTTCAGCTTCTCTCTGACAATGGTATCCGCTGCCAAGGCTATGCGGACGATATAGTAATCATTGCCAGAGGGAAGTTTGAGAGCACCCTCTGCGACATCGTTCAAAGAGGCCTAAGATTAACAAGGGAATGGTGTGCCAAGTTAGGGCTGAGTATAAACCCAGCTAAAACCGCCATCGTCCCCTTCACTAGGAAAAGGGCCCTACCGGGCATGAGGGACATTACCTTGGATGGGGTCGTGGCCAATGTCGCCAGCGAAGTGAAGTACCTAGGACTAATCCTGGACACCAAACTTCTATGGAAGAAACATGTGGATGAGACCACTTCCAAGGCTACGAAAGCATTAATGGTGTGTAAGCGTCTGTCGGGAAAATCCTGGGGTTGCAGCCCCACGATCCTAAGATGGCTTTACACCAAGATAGTACAGCCAATAGTGACATATGGGGCAGTGGCCTGGGTTTCAAGAACCACTCGGGCTACAGTGAGACAATCGCTCACTAAGCTACGACTGGCATGTGTATGCATAACGGGAGCGATGCGCACGTGCCCGACGACAGCGCTGGAAGTGGTCCTTGAACTCGAGCCCCTGTACATAACTATAGAACTGACTGCCAAAAGAACTCTGCTTAATTTCACTAGAGAGGGTCATGGAAGAGGTAAGGTCATTTCCTCTAGGAACATGGCGAAGCTAGGGTCCTCGCTCCCGCTAGCCCTGCTTCCGAGGGATGACATATGTAGAACCATAAGGTTTGAAAAGAGGTTCAAGATTGAGTTAGGCAGTAAGACAACCTGGAGTGCTTCCTCCCTTGAGGGACTCCTTCAGGATAGTACACTGCAGTGGTACGCAGATGGCTCGAAGACCCCGGAAGGAATAGGGGCTGGAATCTCCGGACCTAGGTCCAGGATCTCCATCCCGATGGGGAAATATCCGAGCATTTTTCAGGCTGAAGTCTACGCCATCTACGTGTGTTTGGAGACCATAATTAATAGAGGATACCGTAATGAGAAGATTGTAATTCTTAGTGACAGTCAGGCGGCACTCAAGGCTCTGTTATCCTTCGAAATTAAATCGTCTCTAGTCCTTGGGTGCATAGAGAGGCTCAACTCCCTTGGTATGCACAACAACGTCAAACTGGCGTGGGTGCCTGGCCATATGGGAATAGAGGGGAATGAAGCGGCGGACTGTCTCGCTAGAGAGGCGGCAGCCATTACTCCAATCGGCCCTGAGCCCTTCCTGGGAGTGGGTCCCAACACTATTAAGGAAAAGCTCAGGGAGAAGAGGTACAATATGAGGGACTCGAACTGCCAGAGTTCGGTAGGTTTGCGACAGGCAAAAAGCCTGCTAGGAGGGTACAACAAGAGTAGATTCAAAAGTTTAATTAGCCTCCCAAAGGAGAGGCTGAGAATATTATCAGGTTTTCTTACAGGACACTGCAGACTGGGAGGGCATATGTATAAAATGGGGTTACGATCGAGTGACCTTTGCCGGTTCTGCGACGTCTCCAGTGAAACGCCACTCCACATCCTCATTGAGTGGGATGCGGTCAGCAGAAGACGTGAGAGGAGTTTAGGTTCCATTTGGCCACAGTTAGAGCACATTCACTCCTTATCCCCAAAGAAGCTCTGGGACTTCCTGGGGGATCTTGGCTTGGAGGAAGTATTGTGAAGAGTGGAGGGCACAATAGACCATTAGGTCGCAGTGCATACCTCATAATTTATCTATCTATCTATCTAGAAAAGTTTCAATTACGCTGTTTTGTAGCACATTAAATGTAATGCTGGATTTCCACTTGGCATTAAATGGCATAAATGACAAATGAAAAAGTTGGGCATTAAAAAATATGCTTGTGATTACGTTAAAAAAATTGTCATTATGTTCATTTCCCCATGGCATCTTTTAAATGGCATATATTTTTTTTCATGTCAATGCCTAGTGGAAATTCGGCATAAGTGTAATAAAGTGCGAGAATGTTGCAAACATGCACTTTATTAGCCTAAAAACGAATGGGCTACAAAATTGCATACTCGAAATTTTTCTAAAAAATTCTGATGAAAAAGTTTGACA